AAGACGATAAGCATTAAAAATAATCATTGTACTTAAAATAAGAAATAATACTTAATAACATTGGGGAGATTCTTCTAAAATAAATAGATATTCTCGATGCCAAAAAAAAAAGAAACAAAATATTTACTAATATAGTTTATGAAATTATTTAAAAGCAAATATATATCTATATAATTGTATTTCTCTCTGTTAAAATAATTTAAAAATTAATTTTTAGATATACGTGCTTTAATAAATATATTTCTCTGGAGCCAATTTAATATTGGCGTCGTCATCTGATCGCGATTAAGCTGGGGCAGTCAGATGACTTGAATCAAAATACAGCCTTGATTTTGGAGAGAAAGTTACATATATACGTATTAGCTTTCAACTCACATATTTTCGTAGCAACTTCTTCAAATCAGATTTCATATAAACAGTATTTCTTTCTATGGTTGAATATAGTCTCCACTAATTTCTACTCGTAACGTGATTATCGAATCAGCTGCATTTCACTATATAAAGTTTTATTTTGATGCAATTCGCGCTTAATATGTTCTTACGATATTTCTACTGTTTTTATTTATATAGCGGTTATGTGTATATAAATGCAACGGTTTGTAAAAATTTAAGCTTCTAGTGGCAGTACGAAAAGATATATACGTCTCAAGAAGAAAGCTAATTATCTTATTTTTAATTCACGCTTTAAATTTTAATATATGATACAAATTTGTTATTTCTCATAGCTATCGTATTTTTCTTCACAATTCGGTACTTTTAAATAGAATAGCCGGACATATTAATTAATTTATATAGCGTTTGAATTATATATATGACAGAAACTAAAAGCGCGTCTTCCACTTTATTTAGGCTGCACAATTTTATCTTATACAATATATTTCTTTAAGTTAAGATTGGGGAAGGGGAGAGAATAGAAAAAGGGAATACTATAAATTTTTATAAATAATTACCAAAAATAGTTTTTTTAACTTTGGTTTAGAGAGATATAAAAAATGTTATAATATGATATTTTATATTAAAAGAATTAAATGTGCCTTAAAAGATATTTAAATTTTACAATCTTTTTCTTATACAAATCCTTAAATAAGGTGTGTAAAGCGTTACATTAATGTTACTGTTTACAATTTTTCCTTACGAGTGCACAAAGATTTACCGCACGTAGGAAGAAATCCTTCCCCTCCCCCTCTCCTTTTAAATTAAATTTTTGCGGCTCCCTTTTATGAATATCTGTCACGTTCTGACGAATAACAGATTGCACGAAGCAATTGTGTAGAATTTCGATGTTTTGCGAAATTTCAAGACCTGCTTCTTTCCTCAACGTGGAAAACTTGCGAAAGTTTGCAGAAGCGCGGTTATTTTAGCGAGATATTACGGAAACGGGGGTCGCGCATTATATTCGTCTCGCAGATATACGAGCTGCTTTTCACTTGTAGAGCTGCCTTCTAAAATCACTCCATTTAATGCGAGATTGGAACGTGACGAGGTTGAGGGTGGAGGGCGGGAGCGAGAAGAAGAGGGTGAGTAAAGGGTGACGGGGAGACGAAGCGCAGAAATTCGAGTGCGGATGAAAACCGCCGCTGCTGTCCGGAGCGTATATGCGGTCGTGCTGGAAAAGCATACCGACGTGACGGCGTAGTCTCCGGAATAACCGCGAAAATCGCTCATCGACGGACTATCTCGCGTCATTCCGAATCGATCGTATAGTTTAATTAGCGGAGAACAGACTCTTCTCTCGCTGGGATGCGACGTTTTGTGTTTGAATTTATCTCATACGCAACATTTTAATATTAACACATTCGGTTCGTTTTTTTTGGTTCCTCTTATTTTTCATTGATTGATACTTCAATGGATTTCGCGTGCTCTCTCCATTTGGCATTATGAATATTTAAAACATTCAAGCGATCAATCAGAAGAAAGAAATTTTTTTTTGTTCTGATTAATCAACCAAATGCTTCAAAAGATTTGTAAGCGTCAAATTGAGCGTACTTGCTGTTATATATTTATTTAAAAATAATAGAAGCTTCTTTTTAAATAGGATCAGTTTCCTTTTATTCTTTGATGCAAAAGATTGTAAAAAAATTTGTTGTATCGATTGGATAAAATTAAAAACAACAATATTACACAATTTTACGAAACGTCATAATTTTTATTAAAAAATAAAAAATATTTTTGTTAAATTTTGGTTTCAATGTACTTCTTCCCATCTAGAAAAATGTTTTTCAATTTTTAAAAAGAAATTCAAAAGTTGATATCAAAATAACTTTATTCATATATAACTGAATTACCTAAATAATTTTATTTAAACCATCACTTAATCTTTCAAAAGACTTTTCAAGAAACTTTTGCATCATGATTATATTTAGAGTTCTTACAGAAAGATTATAAGATTTAAAGATTTTTACATAATGAAAATAATGTTGTATCATGCCTATTATTATACAATAAATCATGTGAAATCACGACTATAGTGACATAATGATAATATATAAATCATTAAATATATACATATATGTGTATATACATAAAATTATTTTTTTATTACTTAAAAAAAAATGCATAAAAACATAATTGTTAATAGATGTTAATAGATTGTTAATAGATTCGGCCGATAACTGTTTACATAGTTAGTGAATTGCCTTTATAATACTTTTTGCACAGAATTATATATGCATTAAACGTCATGCATTCATCATCATCAATGTCCTTGCATATCGCCGATTACATGATAGTGGAAGCATTGCACGGTATCACTTGTTGCATGTATTCACTATGTGGCACTGGTAAAAAGATCTAATCTAATAAAAAGCACTTTGCATGTTGTTCAATTTTATCGAAATTTTTTGCGAACATAAACAATCTTACAAAAATTTCATGAGTGTTGTTTAAAAGCAATATTTTTTAATACCTACTCTTAATATCTACTTTATATATACATATAAGAATAAAAGATATAAGTTTATTGAAAACATGATATACTCGTATATACACAATATTGTTATCTTGATTATCTATTGGGTGAACCTCTACATTAGTATACCTTGATTCTATGATTTTAATCTTGACATATGTTATAAAGATCATAATTCTAAGTAACCTCCGAAAGATTTTAGCCGTCGCTTATCGTTTAAGAAGTTATTAATAAATAAAAGTTCACATGCATATTAATATTTTAATATAGACTGACATAAAGAATTTAATTTAAATTAAACCATTAAAAAAACACATAAGAATAAGACTAGTCATTTCTCTAGTATTTTTATGCTTGATACGATTCTGATTTTTAAATTGCTCCATCACATTTAGCACATTTAACAATAAATATTTTATTAACCATATAATCGAGAGACAAGAAATTTCTTTTGGAGTTTGAAAGTTTTAACAACATACTAAATTTTATAACTGCAATAAAACTTCTCCAACACAAAAAACATTGAAATAGTCATTCCTTGTAACTTTAACAAATTTCTTAAAATTGTGACATGATGGAGCAATTTGGAAATCAACGTCGTATGCGGCATAAAAAAAAATACAGAAACTGATTAGTTTTATTCTTGTGTTTAAAAAAAGTTATTTTTTTTAACTGTACTTATACGGTTCCACATGGGTTTGCAACTTTTCACGCGAAGCGTGGTCTGCTTCATATTACCTTGTGAAAACCATTCTTTTTTTGCCATATACTTTTGACCTGAAAGCATCGGGCAATGTAAAGTTACCTTATTTCGCACGAAAAGTTGCAAGCCCAAGTGAAACCGTACAATTGTAGACTTCGACTTTTTCACACCGAAAGTACCGGACAATGGATTTCACTTCGCGCAGAAAGTTGCAAATCCATGTAAAAAATCTTTTCTTTTTCATATTTTGGATTAATAAAGAAGTACTGTAAATTTTTATAAAACTATAGAATTTTTCAAGCTATAATATATTTTTGAACAAAAGACGTGTGTCTTTTTTTCACAAACATAATGCGTGAGTAATGATATCCATATAAACGTTAAATAACGAATATTTAATTGTCAATCTACATTCAAATCTTGATTTTCGTAAACTATTATTTGTTAATAATATTTTTATAAACAACAAGCACCAGTTAAAACTTTTTGTAGGTTATTCAGGGTCTTGACAAACCGTTTCAAAGGTTGAGGTCATTAAACGGGAGAGAAATATGCACTAATGTGAAGATTTGTCAAAGAAAAGAAGGCAAATTAAAGAGAATGTGTGTAATACTTATTGAATTAAATAAAAAAAATACTTAAACAATATACATCAAAAAATTGACTTTGTCGGAATTAGAAGCAATTTCTAATTTTAATAACACAAATGATTTTTGCAGATTGTTTTTTCTATTTATCGCATGCAATGTTTTTTCACAAAAGATTATTATATTATATTTTTAGCTTGCCATCTGCAAAAGATAATTTAAGTGTTTTTTTCTATCTATTTTCCTTATATTTTTATATCTTTGTCTTATACAATTGCTTTTAAAAATTCTTTTGTTCACGTGTTGATAGGCATTTTTTGTTTATTTTTTAAACTTTTTTTGAAAATATCATTTATAAATATATATATACAAAATTTAAGTTTAAAAGTTGACTTTTTTCTGCCAATTTCGTGGTATAAGTAAAACATGCATGCTTATATACCTCTATTTATTATAATTTTATATTAGATATTAATTATACTTGCAATATTTTTCCACCATTAAAATTTCCTCCATTTTTACGAATAGAAATTGTGTATTTTCTATTGTGTTACATTCAATAACAAATTTTAGCAAGCGATTGTTTTTACACAAAAGAGAAAACTAATTGATTGTTAATTTATTTTCATAAAATCAAAAACAGGTTTTTTTACACATTTTTCGTTTCGTGATCGGCGTTTTTCAACAAGTGGGCATGCAAACACTAGAAATTGCTTTCAGAAACAGGAAGAGTGGGTAAAAAATAACAAGCTACTATTCATGGATCGTTTTGTTATACAACGAAATAAAAGAACACGAGAATATTAACAGATCGCACTTTTATTTTAACACGCCATTATTTACGATTGATGCGCAATTCTCACTTATAACTAAACATATACAAAATAATCTTTAGATTAAATATAACTTAAATCCTCTAATTTTTTTAAATGCACAAAATCTCGAATGTATGCTAAAATAGAAGATAAGCAAACGATATAAAATATTACTGCCGCTGCTAATACAGGAACTAAATATTTTAATTATTTTTTCTTGTATTTTTATTCGTTATCCTATTTTTGTTGTTTTTGTCGATAGTCCATACAAGAACTTTATTATCTATCATTATTTTAAATTAATTTTTTCTTGATATATTAAAATTCTATGTATACTATACATTTACTCGATCGCTATTAACGGTAAACTAACAACGCCCAAATTTTATTAATGCTTTGTATTAATAATGAAATTTCTAATAGAGAATGTATAAAAGTGATAATAATTAATTGCATAAACTTACGATATTACACACACGTATCGCTTGAAATCAAATATTTTTAATTTTATTTTTTACAAAATGATTAAGCCAATGTTTAATTAGCGCAACTTTATTTTCGTATAAGGCTAAATTATAGTATATAATAATCCATGGTCGATAAAATATATTCAAGAATTATTAAATGAGAAGCAGAGGATGTATTAAGAAAACGGGTAGAAGGAGGTTTGGCATATTCGACTATAATACGGTTCACTTACAATTATCATATTTGATTTCGATTGATACACAATACGCAGAGAAAGATTTGAAAGTAATCGCTTATAAAAAATTCCGGAAAAAATAAAATAAAGGTAATGGATTATACGTAACAACACAATTGATTTTTACACTATTTTTTCCGTTTACGCTATTTTACGAACTTTAACGCGTGATCTTTTAAATAATTGAACAAATTAAAAATATAACTTTCATTATATTCAAATATCAAATTGTGCATCACATAAAGCGTAAAATGCACGACCTGATGTATGCGAGATGCACTCAATGTATCCGACTCTTTATCGTTCTTTCTTTCCTCTCTAGCTATCTCTTTCTCTCACGAGAATGTCGATATGCAGGTATGTGTGTCATTTGAATTATTCTGGACAGAGAAGCGACTCACATTTCAGTTAAATCTCACACAAAAATACAGAACAATTAAAGTTTCTATATATCGCATACAACTACGCGACCTCCTTTCGGGGTTCTCGGCTTGAGTAGGAACAATCTATTTGCAGCAGAGGTGCAAAACACGAAATATTAAAACCAGCAACGTTCTAATTTAAGTAAAAATCAATTGTGCAACATAAACTTTTTCTGATAATCTTTTCGTTTGTAAACTATTCATGCAATTGAACGCATGTAATCAGGCATATAAAGCAATTTATTCACAGATTTTAATAACTGCGAGCTTAGAAAGAAATTATTATTATTTTAGTTAAAACTCATAATTAGCTAAAATAAAAGAATTTTTGAGAGAATTTTATTATATAATATATTAGAAAATGGGATTAATTCTTATAATTATATATACACTCTGTTTTACATAAATAAATCAAATTTGGCAGAAAAATAAAAAAGGAAACGATAATAAATTCATACGTTTGTTGTACACCTCTGTTCTACAGGATGACACAAATTAATGAATTATTTTGTCGCTTAAATGGAACATGCAAAGTAGGCTCACTTTTCTTGATAAAAACAAACAAACTCTTAAACTTGCATACATTTTTAAAAATGCCTCTTTATTGTAAATAATATATTTTCAAAAATTTTCCAGCCAATACTACCAATAATATTTCGAATAAAAATGCACCAAAGTATTATATCTATATCTGCTACATTTTTATTTGAAAGTATCTCGCATCGTAATATTATCGATGTAAATTCGCTGATGACTTGTGTAATTAACATAAAATACATATACGTATAGATTAGCTTTTGTATTGTATTATCGAAAGCATAAGCCAGTTTTTCAAAAATTATAAATCGGAAAAATTTAAGAATGTCACATTAAATTCTTTCATTTTTGCTTGTGTTGTTACTAGCAACAAAATAATATAATACGACACATGTATAAAAATAATATACATGTGTCTCCCATATATAGATATAATTTCCAAAAAACACAACTTCATCACATATCGCGGAATTTTTTTCGAAATTGCGTGAGAAATCTTAAAAATTCTAACTTCTCTCGTTCCGTAAACGACAAAGCATAACATTTTTGCTCGTGTCAACCTGCGTAGCCGATTATTGTGAATGCATCGTCGAGGCACTAATCCTAATTTATTTTCACTGGACGCTTCGATGAATAAAAGACTATCTAATGATATGTATGAGGGCATGCTAATCGTTAACAAGAAGAGCGCATAGAACGCTAAACAGCCTATAGGCCCTATTAATATTATCTTGCCCTTTATCCTCTTCACTTTTACTTTTTTTTTCTCTTTAAAACACAAATATATTTATCTCTTTAAAACACAAATATATATTTATTTTCTCCTTTTTTTGTCTTTTTTCCTTCGTATCTTGCATATGCGAGTATATATGACACACATTTTTTATATTTTATATAGAATATATTCCACGTTTATCGCGGAGATTCCTTGACCCGAAAATACCTCGTGTATTTTCTCATTCCTGTTTCTCTTTAATAATTTAACGAGAGTCCACAATTTGATAAATGTTCAAACTCTTGACAAATAAAATATTTTTACAAATTTAATTTGTACATTAAAAATTTTGTTAAAGTAGAATCAATTTTGAACAAAACGTAGAATAAAGTTGTATATTGTTGATTTGCGCTTTTGGAGTTGGTGTAATTTATACAAGAGAATTTTTTTATTCTCTTGACTATAATCGAGCAACAATCGATCATACATTAGTCACAGAATCCACGGCCAAAAGGAAATGAGATATCGATGAAAAGATACTTTATATAATTTAGGATATTGTATAATCCTTTGCATTTGTATCTTATTTCTTTCGTCTATAATGCTCCGTCTTGTATTATATTGTCGCCCCAATTACACGAGAGCTCATTATCACGGCAATTTTTCGTCTCGTCGACGAAAAATGCTGACAAGCATTGGCGACTCGTTATTCAAAAAGTCTAAAAAAATGCATCGCCCGCGAGACAATTTCCTGCGTGCAATTTCTATTAGATACGTCGGTGCAATTAAACTCGCTCAGTGTCTCTTATGTTAGTCACATCGCTCGTTGCGAGCGAGAACGCGACGGCAGATTGCTCGTCAGAATGACGAAGTTGTGCAAGTGCACCTGGTTACTCCCGACAGTGCCATCGGAGGGGAAACGAGGTCACGCCTTTGTGATCCATCACCGGATTTCAAGGGAACGATTTAATGGTGGCGCGCGTCCGCCACGCGCAAATTGCTCGTAACTCGCCCTTTGATGGGCATTAAGGTACTCGGCGCGAGAGCAAATTTTGAAAAATCGTCGAACGTTATGGTCGATTATCGATCCCATGCGATTCCACGAGACCCGTGATAGCGACTATTGCCAGAAGCGACTTTCGTCGTCGTTTTACATACCGTTCTCGACTATGTAAAGCGGAGGGATCTCAGAGATTTTCCGTCCTTCTGTGTTCAGGTCGCGCTATGAATCGAGAATGATTCATATCCGTATAATAGCAAATCGTTTTTGTAAAAAAGTTAAAAATTGCAGAGCTAAGAAAATTATAAATAGTATTGCAAGCAACTGTTCCTCCTCTGTGATATTAAAAATTAAAAATTATTATGTGCATTATATACGCGAATAAAAAAGTTGAAACGATAATAATGATATATAGCCAGTGTATGCACTGTATATAGTCAAATATATATTAATTTGCAAAAGTTTTTGCATGATTGATAGAATCATTTCGTTACTTCAATCTATTATTAAATTTTTAATAACAATAAATCTTTTTATCCATTACTTAAAGTTACTGTGGGAGACTACAATTTTTTATTATTCAACTTATTTATTCATTATTGAATATGAGAAACACATTTGCAATATGCATTTCTTAGAAAAAAATAGATGTAAAAATAAAAATATATATTTGTTGATGCGCAAAAATAAGAATGCCAGAATTGAAACAAAACTAAGTAATAAAAATATATTTTTGCAAAATACTCGAGAAAAAGATAATAAAAAATCTCAAGTTAAATAGAATTTTTGAAAATCTTGAAACTTTATTAGTAAATATAAAAAGAGATATTTACGTATATATATATTTATATGTGTATATATATAACTGGAAAATGATAATACTCGAATAATAAATTTTTCGTAATAACATCTTATTTTGCTGACTTGAATATTACGGTGTTTTTAGATTTCGCATAGCGTTTAATATTTCGGAGAAATATCTTACGACATTTCAGAATAATTCAACCTCGGAAATGCATTGTCTTATTTCTTGGATCTTTTTTCGGACTTTCCCGTTGTGTGTGTGTTTGGGTATCTGCCGTTTATAGGTACTATCTTCTTCCATCGTAAATCCAATTGTAAAAAATCCGGTTATAAAGAATGGATGCTCAACGTATAAAAAACATTATCTGATTTTACTGCACGAATAAAAGTAATATGTGTCTGCATTTTATTATGAATAGATTACCGAACAAAGAGAGAATATCTGATATAAAATTATCTTTTTAAAGTAGAGCTATTAAAGGGTAGCGAAATATAGAATTTCAAAAAAAGTTCCATGCAAATCCTGATAAAATTTATGTGAATAGTTTAAATCGTTAAAGACTACTTCTTTCATATTTAATTGTAAGACATGAAATATTAATCTGCAAGTAAGCAGTTTATAAAAAGAAAAGTCTTACAAAACCACGTGTTTGTGTTTGATATAAGAGTGATTTTTATATATATAGAAGAAAAGACAAATGATACAAAAAAATGCGCGTATGAAACCCGACTTGCTTCAACTTTTCTCGCGTTGAGAAAAAGAATTTGTTTACGAAAGAAGACGACAGAAAAATTTTTCAACAAATTCATATTGCGAAAAATTTTTTCCTAAATTATTGGCGTCATTTAGGAGAACACTTCTGATACTAAATAAGTAAAGAATAGTTTTTACACTTTTTATAAAATATTCTTTAGAAGAGTAATACACACACAAAACATATACATGCTACTACACACTGTTCCTGCGTCATGTTTCCTTTTGTCATCTACAGCATCTTTTAAGTTAGTGGAATGGAAACTCGGAATTTTTTAACAAAATTGACTTTATGTGAAATTGACCTTTTCTCGATGAAACTTAGAGAATGAAAATTGTTATATGCTATAAATTTTTAATATTAACATTTTTAGTAATTAATAGCCAAGTGAAATTTTTGTTTATGCGAAATATATTTCAAATTAATTTAAAGAGAGTCGAGATTTTGATATTTATGCTAATATTTTTGTAAACTCATTTTACCGGAATAATTCAATATTAAATTTTATATTTCATGTGGTTATAAAAATTCTATCATTTTTCATTTTTAATCTAAATGGACAATGTATGTTTAAAAGAAGTGCGTGACACATCGTATAAACTTATCGCAAGTATATAGCATATATTTATATTCTCATTTCACTGTCGAGAGATACCATGTATTTCCGTCATGTTTCTGACATGCAATGCTGCAGTCGATATGCCAAAGTACTATCTCTTTTAAGCCGATTGACGTTAGAGCCGATGATTGATCTGTAGAGAAAATAGTTTTGTTCTGCTTGTTTAATTAAAATACAGAATTAACCCCTTCCTTTTTTCCTTCTCCTTCTTCTATCATTGTTTTTTTTAAATCTTTTATTCAGCGATCCGTAGATCGATGCTAATTAACGGCCGTATTTGTCGATTGGGTAACAAATAATATATTCTATGATTGTAACATTGATATATGAAACACGCACCTTCACACATTTATGCGCACACATACATATATATATATATTTATTTATCTTTTTCTATGTAGATGATATGTAAATGGAAGATTTCGTATATTTCCGACGAGTTTTATTTTTCGAAACAGGGCAAGGTTTTTAGTATATCAACGAGATGGCCGTTTTAGTAACTACATCGTTGACGCGAACTATCGTCAATCGGACAATCACGTATTATATATAAGAACGCAAATCATCATGTAGTAATGTATTGACTCTGAAATATTTCGAATATTTGCGTTTTATGAGAGATGCTCGCGCGTGAGTTACGGTAAATACAGTATCAAGCTAATTATATTCAGTGAGAGAAATCAGACAAATATTTTTAAATCAAAAAATTGAAAGACTGTAAAAAAGTTTTGATACTGTACATATAATGTGAAATTAGATAGACAGAGCGAAAATCAAGCACAGATCCATCGATTGTAGTATGCAATGACAGATTGGTGGAAATAAATGTAAGTATTTAAATGGCATATTAAGTTAAATATTGATACTAATTTTCATTTTCCAATATGCCGTAAAGAGTTCGATAGAATCCACCCGATCTCTGGCATTAATCTGGCTTACTTTTTGTTAATAGATCTCGTCATTATGTCAACGCGATACGATGAATCCTGCATTAATTCTTCCTGTTAATGAAGCTAATAGAAAAAATACTTTGCAAAATTTATTTCTGATAAGCTTGAGCGTTTGGATTAGCCAGATCTTTGAGATCTAAAATGTTTAATTTTTTGACTCGTTTGATTTTTCGCGGCAAAAAAGCTTTTTCTTTTCGTTTCTTTTTTGTGAAAGCAAAATGCATTGAAAGCTTCGAAAGAACAAACAAATATGACTCTATTGAATACGAAAATAAAAGGCGCTGATTAAGCATGCTAATTTCACTAAAACGAAGATTATCCGTAAATTGTGTAAGACACGATATACGTATTTTAGTGTGCTGAGGAAAATAAAATAAAAAATCATAAAAGAATATATATGCACGAATAAATGATCGGTTAATGAACATTATTGTTAGAAACTATTATTTTCCTTTCCGTGAGATGTAAGTTAATCAAGATTTCCCCCTAGTTTTAATTTATAATGTATGTAAAAAACTTTCCTTTTTTTCTTTCTTTCTCTGAAAACTAGTATCGTTGACATTTTTGAAAAAGTAATAATATTATATATACAATATGTAATGGCTACAGAAATAATTGTATATTACCCGATCATTTATTGGCGCACATCTTTATATTGTACATAATAAATCTGTAAATACATAAGATCCGCATAAATGATTTTTTGTGACAAGTATTTGAATAAGTTTAATAATATATAAAAATAAGGAGATATACAGGGACATTAAGGTTTGGAGCAAAACACTTTCGAAAGATTCGCAAATACCTGACCCCAGTAATGTTCTCTCTTTCGAGGCATCTGTACAAAAGATATCAATTTCAGATCAAAGTGGAGAGAGAGAGAGAAATTCAATTCGTTCGTGAACACAGAAATACTCGGGGTGCGACGTGTATCACATACACGTGGTGTTCGAGTCTGATTGCAGAGTCGCGTGAGCTGACAAGGCTGACTGAAATTTCCAGTATCGTCAATGCCATTGCGCAAAAGCTCTCGAAATGAAATTTCCCTTCTAAAATTCCTAATACCTCCCGGTTAAATTTCTCTTGTCCGCTCCGTATAATTTTGACAATGTATGTACACCGAATTAAGTTACGCGAGCTCAATTGCCAAAATATCTCAGAGTTCATTTTACTCGTGTGATCTCGTTAAAAATCAGTATAATTTTGTCGCGATGTTCGAAATCGACTGTCCGCAAACTTGTGAGAGAATCCATAAGCCTGCATAAAGCCGGATCAATACCAAATGGATTCTCTAATGTATGAGCTTACGATGTATGACGATATCCTTGTGTGTGTAATTTTTTTTTTCTGTTTCTTAATTCTTTGCTTCTACAACAATCATACTTTACTATATTGATTCATATAGAACACCCTGTACATACGGCATATGTATGCATATACGCGTTTAAATCACGAGTAAATCTATTACTAGCTTTCAGAGACTTTTCTTATAATCTAATCTTCAATGAATCGCGCGAATATACACTTCTATCTCACTCTAGTTAGAAAATATAATCTACTTTTTTGAAAATTTATAATTTTTTATCTAAAGAATATTGTGTGCGCGCGCGCGCGTGTGTGTATCTGTGTGTATATATACGTGTGAGATATTCGAATAAACGAATAAATGGCTATTTTAGCGCAGATCATTTTGCACCTACGGTGACTAATTGGGAATCAAAAGATATTAATGTGTGCCGTCCGATTGAAAGTCATATTTGAAAGTCGACAAACGCTAAAATAGAGACAGATCCGAGAGCTCGAGTTAATCTAAAATAGAATTCCATCCGGAATCCTTTTCTCGATTATGCCGCGAAAACAAGAGACTGTTTATCACACATTTCTTCTTTTCACATTGATCCTTAAATAAAGCTGAAATCGCTGCCGTGATCTAGGATCCCGCAACAAGTTTTGCGGTTCGCAAGTTGTATGATGTCTTAATACTTAAGCCTACAGATCTTGTCTCGTACACGACGTCTGGATACAATATAGTATATAATTATATTTGCATTTATATGTGTGTGTATACATATACACATATATGTATATATGTACATCTCTCTCGCTTATCAATAATGTTTATGTGTATATATATATATGTATATTTATGGTTTTTTTTTTGCTTTCGCTTTGCGTGTATCGCTCTCACTATCGTTTGCTCTCGTTTTCGTTCATTTTCGCTATCGCTCTTGCTATCGTGTGACTCTAACAATGTCTGACCAGTTAAAAAATTTTGGTTTTTTTATTATTATAGCTCGTCATTTCTCAACATAACGATTCGACGTCGGCATTTCCGTCGACGCGAGTTTTCTCCTCCTCTGGTGTTTATGTATTCTCGCGGTTAAAATACTTGAGTGTAAAATCTCGCAAATATAATAAATGCTATATGGGTAATATTTTACAAGCTGACCTGTCTCCTTTGATTCCGATCTCTCGCGAAAATAATCTCGTTCATTCTCGTAGATCTCGCAAATGTTTATATTTAGATGTGAGATAGATGATTTTTAATTAGGAGCTCGCGAAAAATGGTCAATAATTATTATTCCGCCGAGATTTACGATTTTATCCAGATTCTTATCGTCGCCAACCGACTGAGAGAGCCAAGCCATCAGGAGCGGTTACGGTCTCAATAAAATGTTAAACGCAGAGATGAAACGAGAACCTTAATGCACTCACCCCCCTCCCCCCTATAACTTTTAAACTCATGGTGCATTTGCATCGAGAATCACTTACCTCCTCCGTGATCTTATCTCAGGTGGAAGTTCGTCCGCAATAAAATGAATAAACCGGACGATTGATTTCGAATTCTCTCTCTCAGCGCTCTCTCCCGTGCCCTTCTTCTCGTTTTCGACGTCCTCGATATAAGTCAATCTATTAACGTCGACAAAATCCTCGACAACGCATTTAGAATTTTTCTCGAATAAATGCGCGTAATTAGGTTTCCGGGATTTCCGCAAAATCGGACATGAAACTCGCAATGGAAATTCCGTATCTACATTCACAAGAATAACAGAAATTTTCAAATATTCTTTAAAGCACGAATGATAAACTGACAATTGTCCAATTTCGCATAATAAATAGGGTGTATCTTCAAGGGAGTAGTTTTTTAAAAATTCACCGGGCACATCCCTCGTTTTCCTTCTTTGAAAACCAGCCCGGATATACGTACGTCTCTAACCGTCTCTTCTGAAAGATACTCTTAAAAGCTTCGCGGAAACACGATGTAGTCTGCTTCATTTCAGCATCCAAGAATCTTTTGATTCCGTTGAGAGACTCGAAAGAGAGCGCTTCGCTGAGACAGCATCGAGAGAAGCGACGAACTCCGCGGAAAATGAGAGAATAACGATCTCATTGTAATCCGCTTCTATAAAAATATTGCTGTGAGTATTTGTTTTATTCCACGATATGTCAGGAACGAATGTCTCATTCAATTGCAAATGTCTCATTCATTTGATTGGATAATGGATAAATTACAGATGGTTATAATTGCCGTTGGAAAATTAAAAGATTCGTACAACAACTATGAACTTGGTTTTAGAACTCGTTATGTTGTTGCAGACGGATAATTCTTTTTTCGAGAAATCAATTTATATAAGAAAATTAGGGTGATTTCATTTAAAAAAACTAACAATAAGTTAATCTTTACCTTAAAAAAATGTTCTTAATTAAAATTCAAGATTATCAATATCTTTTTCTCTCTCAAAATCTTATAAATTTTGTCTGAAACATTTTTTAAATACGACGTCAAGTTTCAAAGAAAACGCTTTGTGTATAATACCCTATACATATGAAAACCCTTATAAAGCGTTAAAACAATAAGATGATAATTTCACACTTTTAATGTAGAACATATTTTATCTTATAACGGGATCCCAAGTTATTTTAATTACTTGGAAATTGAAAATTTTGTAACAATGGATTTCTCACTGCTACCCGCGCTCTATCTCTCTCTCACTCGGTTTTCTCTCATGCAGTTACTATGGGAATTTATTAATCTTCCACTCTCGGCTCATTTTACGGCAACTTATAGCGTGATAAATTATGAAGAGCAAAAGTTAAATTTCTTGCAAAATCGCGTTGAGCACTTAGATGAAAATATAACTTTTAGATGCGAATTATCTCTCGGTTTTACCAATTTTCTTTTTCCCGTCGTTTTGACTTTGTCAACTATGAAATAAATGATTTATTGCACAGAGGCAATTTAGCGCCGACAGTTTGTACGATAGTTCTAAAATTAACAGATTGTTATTATTTATTACGTCTCTTCAAATCTATCTCTTATTATAATATTCTCAAAATTGATTCGGTGTATATTCATGTTTTACTGTTTCCGTTGTCTGTCCTATAATATAACTGCGAATAAGTGAAATCATCCATTTTACAAACTTTATAGTAATATTCTAAGAGGGTTGTTCTAATTGTGTAAAGGCTAGAATACGCTTTTATAACCGGTAGATATTTTTTGTTTTTTCGTGACATAATCAATTATTTCTAAACTTTCTTAAATATTCTATACTTTTTTTTTTTTACAATAAATTTATCTATATTGTAAATCTTTAATTACAATTAACGATCATGAATCATATTCTCAATAAGCTCAAACTCGCGCATTCATCGAAATATTTAATTATACGTCAAGTCTCTTTTTTTGAACAATTATATTCGTCAATGTGTCAGAGCAAATATATGTATATATAGATACAATCGATGTAACCATCTAATTACAAAATATATTTCTCGATTCCGATTGGGGATAAGTTTAATTTTGCGGACATGAAAATTTTACATATCGTTGTATGCTTGAATTTCGCTTTCTTATCAAAAGCGTAGTGAGTGTTCAAAGATTTTTTTTTAAGAATGTCTCTCTCACGATCGACGCGGTAAAAATCGACGTTACTTGGTCGCTCTCCAAGCGAATTTAATGAGTTCAGAGTTAATAATTCAAATCCATCTACGTCGACTAATTACTTATACGTTTGCTATTTACCGTCTTCGCCATTTCTTCTCCTTCGCTTTCGTGCCCTGAAATTGATCTTGCGTTTACAATTTAGTCGTGCTAGACGATTGACTATGTCGCAAACTAAGAGATCAAATACATTACAAGATGTTTTACTGATAGCAGTTGATTTCTTGCGACCCGAGCTCAGACCAAGCAAACGACTAGGAACGATCACGAATAAACATCGAATAAAATGATTCACGATCTCCTTCGTTTAATCTTCGTTGCGGGAATGACCTATTTTTTGAGTCCGTATCAAGAATTCCCTAATTCGATTACGGTTTTTTTTTGGCAATCGCCATTTTTATAATCAATTAGGCATTGACCTCCAATCGATCATATTCCGATAAGCATTGCCCGTGTTTGATTTATGGTGATCGATTTAAAAGTTTCCATGTCACGAGAAATTACGATATAAATTCGTGCAAGTTTTTGTCGCAGTAACTGTATCTCGCACTAACAATCAAATCTACGATAAGATCGATCAAGTCCTGAGATCGATGAGAATCAGTAAGAACGGATTTTGCAAGAGACAGCGAATCAGAGAGAAAGAATTATTGGAATCCAGAGCAATGCGCGCGGCTGCACGAGATAAAGGTGGAGTACAACCCAGATGTGCGAATCGGATCCTGCTGACGTCGATCATTCGACGGCTTTTTGTTACGAATTTTCTATCGACAATCGCGCGATTTTCGTCTAGATCGATCGACTATCTCGAAGCGAAGCCCCCGTTAGGGGCATCTTGATTATCATTCGCAAACGTCGCGCTGTGCTACCGGTGCCGGTGACGTAACGACACAGTGAAAACGGACTACTGCTGTACGATAGGACGATAACTGTACGTCCTACGGCGGGCTTATATCAATCTACGAATGTTTAACGATCGCTAATGCGACCTTGAAGCGTAAACAACGCTCGTTATAGGACCTGTTTGTCGGACGGTGGCGCCAGAGTGGAGCGTTTCTGTCCAGCCGGGTACCTGCCAGCCGTGTAAAGGGTTTGTTGACATAGATGATTAATCACTTATATGAATCTATGTACCGCCAGCACCGGAAGTAAGAGGATGGACACGATCGGTGTCGATCCACGCAGCTCGCCGGCACTCGCTAAAACGCTCGAAGCTATTGTGCCTTTGCACGCCTCGGGTGTAGGATCTGGAAAAAAAAGAAAAACACGAAATGAATGAAAAGTAAGAACGGAATACGTTCATAAATTTGCAAGCACAGGATGGATCCTACAATAAGATTCCCTATGTTATTACGTCTTTTATTTAGCATTTATGCACAAATTAGACTGATTGTGTTAAAATAGAAGCTAATAACTCTTCTTCAATATAAACAATAATAAAAGTAAATAAAATTAAAAATATATATTATAATATATATAATTCTAAATAAATCAATGTATGCATATGTGTGATTTAAGATATTAAAAAATAACATGTAACATGTTATTCAAATACACGTTTTGTTACAAAGTCATAATGATGCTTAACATGCACTGAATTTTCCGTAATATGTGATTAAGTTATTTGCAATATATTTTCTCTGCAAGCACAAACATTATTATACTAGCGGAAGTTTTCAATTACGCGTGATTTTCCATTATCACGCGTTACTGTATTGAACGGAAAACTATTGGAAATGAATACGTGTGCAATCGCTTGCTTTGTTTCGCAAACAATCGTTGCTGTTTAATCCGATATATTCCGGATACATAAACAGAAACGTCAAAATTATTTGCACCAACAACTGGACAGATTTAACAACTGCGATTGGATTCTTCCCAATGCGCAAAATTCTCTTTCCGGTTATTGTTGGATCGAATTATAACTGAATTATTTATCATACTAGAGTTAAGAAAGTAGCAGAAATCAACAAAATTTATAATTATCTGTAATCATAATTACATTCTTTCATAAAGACGTCTCTGTGCGATTTCACGTACTGTTGCGCAGAGATTCAAAATGTACATGTATTGACGGAATTTGAATTTGCATTTGCCTTTAGTACCATGTTTCATCATATGTACATATTGCTAACGTAAAATATTTACGTGTTTAATATAGCGCTGGAATATTTGAGTGTGGCAATTCTGCGAATTTGCTTTGATTTTGTTTTCGCTAAAATATTGATATAGCCTTCCTATCCGAATTTATAACATAATATATATAATACGATATAACATTATTGCTATTATCTATCATTATATCTTTATTGCTTAACAAATGTTATCATATTTAGTGTTACTATCATATTTTATATATAATTAATACCATATTCATCATGTAAGATAATGATTTTAAAAGTAATATCGAAAATGTATATATTTAAAATGTATATATATTTAAAAGTAATATTGAAAATATGTATATATTTAGTATGCGGTCCTCGATCTATAGAGTGTTTTATATAGATAAAGGAAATAGACCGGTATTACCATATTCTTTATTAAAAAATAAGTTTTTTCTTTGGCAAAATTTTCGGAAATGCATTTTGGATCTTTATATATATTCCTCTTATAATGTATTTAGAAGCAATTATTTCTGAGTTACTGCATTGTTGAGATACTGCAATTAAGATAATTTATTACTGCTCAAGACACATAAGTATATTACATCAGATTAGAAACACATAGTATTCACGTGACAAAGACCTGTTTGTGAAAACTTTATTGTGTAGGACACTGATTAATTTTTTTTTGTAGATTTCTCTCTCTCTCTCTCTCTCTTTTTCTGATAAAAAAAAAAATAAAATTTAAAACTCTTTTTATTTTATGATAAATCACATAAAAGTTTGAAGATGATTGTGCAACGTTATCAATTATAGTTAAATAACATTCCGAAAAATGTATAAGGAGCAAAAAGAATTGAGAGATTGTGTGATTAGTGTGCCTCGTCGACGAATACTATATTCCGTATTATCATAATATAGTATATGTCATCAAGTCTATTGCAATTCGTTGCCACGTATAGAAATACTCGAGTAGTCATTTTGCGAGCATGATTACTCGTTAGAAATTAGCGCTAAATAAATCGGGAACTTATTAATATTGAATTACACGCGGGAAGAATCCATTCTTTCGATTATACACGTACCAGGAATCCCCCTTAGCCGCGGCAGAAATTCGTTCCAAAATGCGCAGGCCGTCGTGCGTGGACCTCTGCCGAAACCTTTCTTCTCCGCGTCCAAAATAAAGTATTGCGGTCGGTCCCTGGTGTAAGGCGGCCAATCGGCCTCATCCAGTGTCGGTATCCTGAAAAATAATTCAAGAGGTAAGGATGGTTGAACGTCACTCACAAATCGTCGAATGCCTCAAGAACGAGCAATAGCTATAGGGAAAAGGGTTGGAGATGGGTAAGACAGCGCAAAACGAACGATGGAAAATCAGGAGAAACGAGAGTGGAAAGCGCGGCGAGTCGGATGGAGAATCAACCGTTCGACTTCAAACGGAATGGAATCTGTCTCCGATAAAGGAAGAGCGCGACGGTTTGCTCGGAATCTTCGCGTAAATACATACATTCATCACGAAGTAAATAGAAAAAGCACGAACGTTTGCTATCTAGCAATATTTGCAAAAGATTACATTATGATTTTATATATATACATATATATATATATATATATATATATTTATGACAGTTATAAATAATTTTTTTACGCTGTATATATATATATAGTAAAAATAGACTTCACGTGCGAATGCAATACATCGCTCGAACATCGAAAGAAATATAAGGTATCCTACCCATACGCAAAATGCAATACGTCATAAGAACTTTAAATCTCGATAAATTCATCTTATGACAGAACAGGAAACAGCTCTTCTTTTATTCAAAGTTAATAAATGAAAGCATACCTTATGCATAAAAACTTAAGCAATCTCAATTCAATGTTAAATATTTCATGATAAATTTAACTAAATGTGTAACATGAAATTGTGTATTAAATAGAATAAAACAGATAGATAATTTTCATATTTAATTTTATATATAATCGAAAAAATGGGAAATATAATTAAAACTCGATGAATTGATGGCCTCTTTAATTGAGAGCTTAATTGAGAAACATTGTTAATCATTTTAAATACTTCTTTTCATAACATTTGGTTAATAGTTTTTATCTCTCTCTCTAATAATTTTTATTTAACAAATTTCTTAAATAATAAAAAGAATTTTGTGTAAAACAGTAGTGCTTTTCCAAATTATTAAATTAGAATTAGTGGTTTTAATAATTTTCAATCGATTTTCTTTCGGTAATTGCCGAAAGGAAAGAATAAATAGAAGTCTTAGTTTGAATGTCAACGAACTTTTAGTGTGAAACTTATCCTTTCTCGCAGTTATATAATTTAAATTTAAATTAACTCTGTTTCATACATCAGCGAACTCTCATTCGCCTATCTGGTGTGTTGGTGCATTTATGATATATTACTTACATTTATATATTGTACATTGAATACATATCAACGGAACATATGCAAATTCCCAAGTATTTTGTTAATTTGGTTAAGTGTCTAATTTCTACTTAATGCCCGCGTATTCGCGTAAAATTGATTAAATATGTATGATCATAAGCGATGAAATAATGATTTGTATTGCAATAATATGGTTTATTAGTTATGCCATTTTTTGCTCAATTTTAAATTATACACAATAGTTAATATATATAT